ATTAAATAAATCGTTTATAAAACAATTAAAATAAAGAAGTTAAGGGAAGAGAGAGATGCATATGAGATATAGAGGTCCAACCATAACGTGCCTACATAATCTCCTCAAGCCACCACTTGAGGATTTCAATAATAACTTCCTCAGTTAAAAGAGCTTGTTTTACACCCTGCTCATGAGCAAATCATTTAAAACTTATTGTCTCTGGATCACAAGCAATAATCTTGTTTTGCCTAGTTCACAAGCAATTGAATACAACTTATTTTATCTCCAAATCATAAACAACTTTTCTTGTTTTCCTAACTCACAAACAACTACTCATACTTGTTTGGTCTTAACATAAGCATAGGTTAGTTTTGTTTTTTTCTTGGCTTATTGCAACATTATCAAGATTGATTTTATTATTTGTATAATTTAGAAAATGTCATCTTAATTATTTGAGCAATTAACTTTGCAAACTCTAGGTTATGAATTGATAATAAACATATATGTGACTATGTGGTAGATGCATATGTTAAAACCATAATACACCTAAATGGTCTACTTTATGGATGTGTGGGCCCACGTATGTCTCCTCTTCTTCTTTATATAAATGCAAGGAATTTATTCCTAATTTTAACTAGTGACGGCTTAATAGTTAATTTTTCTTGAGAATAAGTAGAAGGATTTACTTTATTTATTTATTTATTTATTATTTAATGGATATCTACATAAATTTTCAATTATTCTACGCATCATTATTTAATTTAACCAGGATGCCCTAATAATTCATATCAAACTGTAAAAAAAAAAAATGAATTAAAGAACTCCAAGTCCACTAGTACATTTATTTCAATTATATGAATATTTGTGGAGTGCAACTATGAAAAAAATACTGGTAATTTTTCTAATACGTGTTTATACTTGATACAATATTTGTAATATAAAAGTATTTAGTACTTTTTTTCATTACATGTTTTCATACGATATCCGTTTCAACAAATATTCATAAAGCTTAATGAATT